AACTGAACACTATGTAGTAACTGTTTTCCAAGTGTTTCCATGTCAACTGTAACATTCTGTCAGTTGTCGGTTGAAGAGATTGTTCCACATTTCATATGCAACCAGTAATTTGATTTGTTTTGGTTGTGTGTTGAGAACACCACAACGAATTCCCATTGGACAGCATTTACTGGGATAAATTAACCATCACATAGCTAGTCAGTCAGTCAATCAGCCAAACAACCACCGACCGATCGACCAACACACAAACCAGTCAGCGAAACAAATAAACAAACAACTAGCTTGCTACTCAGAGATTCGAAGAAGTGGAGAGTCGTCACTCGACCTTGACGACACTGATCAGTGTACACACAATGCACAGAACGAGAAAAGTGGCAGTGCCTAACCATCTTGTCATTATCGACTCAAGTGGTCATCTGACAACACTGATTTTGGGATGTGTGTGCACTTCTGCAATACATACACTGGCACAGTAGAATATGTGCACTAGTTTTTTTTAATTTTGTTGTTTTTCATTAAATTTTAGGTTATCCTTATCCGTTGAGATGTTATAGTTTTCTAATATTATTCACATTATTCTTAGTGTATTACTATGCTGCTACCATTATGTATGTCTATATTTTCTTTATTATTGGGCTTATTTTACCTATATTTTAGTATGATATGTTTTTATTATGCCTAAATTATAACCAGTTTACCTCTTGATTCCCCACGGTTATATCAACTTTTTGGCTTGATCTTTCACAAATGTTACTTTCCATTTTATGTTATGGTTCTTTTGGCTTATATATAAACCAGGTATGTTTGAAATAAGTGATTCGTATAACGGAAGCTGGTATTGGTGTTCTGGACTCAACTTGCAAGGCTAGGAGGAAAATGAACAATAAGGACGATAGGCTGCTCATGACAGTCGACACGTCATTGGTTTAGCACAGTGCTAAAATTGTTTAAGTTATATTCGGATTGGCAAATAAGTCATAAGATAATTAGCCGGGTTTAAAAGTCACAACATTTGGCGACGGATGTTTGCAAAGAAAAAAACTAAAGATTGATGTCGTGGATTTCGGGAAGAAATAAGCTATAATAGTTGCCGGTGATTTGGAGTTCATATTAACATTAGCAGTTTAAAAAAAGAATGGCACTCTCTTCAGAGCAGTGGCAGTCATTATTGCACCAGCAAAAGATGTTAGCTTCTCAACAAATACTCCTGGAATCACTTTTAGTGAAGTTTTCAGATATCCCAGAACATAAGTGTATAGAGTCATATCTCAATCCAATTGCAGAATTTATTTTTGATGCATCGACTAGAAGTTCATTCCGATGAAACTATCAACATTCTAAACAAAAATGTTCTGTGAACAGATGTCATTATTTCGTATCCGGTATAATTGTCTGCAGCTGACTAAAGGAGCTAATGAAGACTACACCACATACGCCGGAAGAGTATATACATCTCAGTCCTACAGGAGGTTGGTCGCGGCCCGAATAGCTCAGTGGTAACGTCGCTGACTGTGAAGCTGAGTGACGCGGGGTCGAATCCGCCAGGGAGCATCAGTTCCTTCAGGATTACAGGTACACCTTGCTGACGAGTGCCAAGTAGCACGAAACCCGGGTCCAGGGTTTCCTGTTGACCACCTCCAACCACCATCTTACCTCAGTATATATAGTGCAAGCAGTGTGGAGCCACTTAGACTGGTGGCCACATTGCAACTCGATCGCTAGCATTCGATCAGCACTAAGAAGGACCTGACATGCACGAGAATGATCACCACCCAGTGATCAATCAATTGAGTATGGAACATAACGTTGAAATGACGTTACAAACTGTCACTGTCAACGATTAATTAACCTAAAACAGGATACAGCTATGATGGATATTAAAAGCGTGGTGCCATCTAATCACTCCGTTCATGTTGTTAAGACAGGTCGAAGACAAAATAGTACCGAAAGTTGTAAATATCACTCGAAAATTTCCAAACCTCCAACTAAATGTTGGTATTGTGGTGCGTGGCACTTCTCAAGAATTTTCCGGTTTAGAAATCATAGATACACCATATGCAATAAAGTCGGTCATAAAGAAATAGTCTGCCGAACTAAAGAAAGTTTGAGGTCAAAGTCGACGAAGAGTCCTCACCAGGATCAAGACAAATATAGAAACAGCATACACGCTACACTGGCATTAAGCATAGCAGATAAAAGAATGTATATGAAATTATTAATGTTTATATTCGATTGCAATTAGATACAGCGTCAGATATCATGTCAATCTCCAGACGAACATTGAATTTAATTGGCTGTCCACAAGTATTGCCAACTGAGCACACGGCTCTCAATGCATCAGGAGATATATTAGAGCTTGTTGGAATAATAAAATGCCCTGTTGAATTCCGAGATAACTACTTCACAGGAAATTGTTATTTAACGAACAGACATGATTTAGAACTTATTGGTATAGATTGGATAGACAAACTAAATTGATGGGATGTACCATTGAGCAAACTATGTACGACGAAAAGTGTAAATAGTCCTAGAGATCTACCCATCGTTCATGTAACTAAGAAAGTCATAACGATAGGCCTTTTGCGGAAACATAAAAACTTGTTCCAGAATAAGTTGTGATGCTGCACAATTGGGAAGGCAAAATCAAACTTACAAGATGTAAAGCCCGTTTTCCGACCCAAAACGTAAAGTTCCATACGCGTGTGTTGACAAAGAATTAGACCGACTAGAGAAGCTCAGTATTATACAAACTGGACGAGAATATAGTCAGATTAAAAAATGATTAGCATTTGCAGTAGGGGGACTTCATAAAATGACTTATGGTCGTCAATTTACTCTTCTAAGGGATCACAAGCCGCTTTTATCTATATTTGGATAGAAGTCGGGTATCCCTGCATATATAGAAAATCAATTACAACTATGGGATATTACATTACTTGCTTATGATTTCCAAATTTTGTATAAATCAACTAAAAAGTTTGGACAAATTGATGCTTGATCTCGACTAATTGAGAACCAGAAGCAAGAATGTAAAGATTCTATTATTGTAACGATATCGTTGGGAAAGGATATTCACCAAATACTACAAGCTGTTATAAAAACAACACCATTATCCGCTGAAGATATTAAACACTATACTCAAGAAGACGACGAGCTGAAGCGGATTGTTAGTTACCTTGAACATGGTTGACTCAGCCACATAGACAACAAAAACATTGAACAGTATGCTCTCCGATGAAACTCCCCATCACTCATGGACGGGTGCCTGGTGTTTGGAGATCAAGTAGTTGTACCCACAAGTCTACGTCGTAAGGTGATGTTAGAAGTGCATGCTGCACACCCAAGGGTAGCATGGATGAAAAGACTTGCACGTGGCTATGTATACTGACCGAATATTAATGCTCAGATCGAAGAATTTGTCGCGAGATTTTTCACATGCGTAAAAGCCATCAAAGCCCCTCGGGAGACGGAGATACAGAGTTAGAGAACACCGACAAATCTGTGGTCAAGAGTGTATGTGGATTTCCCTGGTCCTGTAAACAGAAAACAGTTCTTGATAATCGTTGATGCCTTCTCCGAATGGCCAGAAGTAGACTATACAAAGTCTGTCTCGACAAAAGTTACTGTGGGAAGACTGAGACAAGTATTCAGCTGTTCAGATATATTGGTATCGGATAATGGACCAGAATTTACCTCTACTGGATTTTCGAAGTTCTGCATAACCAATGCCGTTTGGGATATCAAAACATCTCCGTACCATCCACGGCTTAACGGTTTAGTCGAGAGGTTCGTGGACACGTTTAAAAGAATACTGATTAGAGCCGAGGGAGAAATAGAAATATAGGACATAATTCAAAGATTTTTACTAACCTACAGCGCAGCACCCAACCCAGCAACAAATAATTAAGAATGTCCATCAGAGGCAGTTTTGGAAGAAAAATTAGAATACCTATAGAACAAATGAAACCAAAACCTAAAACCAGCCTCTGCAAGAATAAACGAGTGGAACAGTAATTTAACAACCGACTTAGTGCATTACACAGAGGGTTTAGTGTGGGACAAACGGTAATAGCAAGAGATTTCTAGTGAGTAAAGTCAACCTGGAAGTTTGATATCATAATCCAAAAAAAGGGAAAGTCATCTATGAAGTAAAATTTGGACAAGAAATATGGGTGCGATATGCAAACCGGACAAGAGTGGGAGACAGGAAGTGATGTAAGGACCGATGTATTATAATGAACGAGAACACAGGAGGGGACAAACAAATGTATTTGAACACAAAATTACAGAATCTGAGAACCATACAGTAAATACTTTATTTGCAAAATGTCAATTAATTGTCTCAAACTTAACTGTTTCTTCGTTTCCACACCAATTATTCTCTGTTCTCATTCTCTTCTCTTTGATCTTCTTGACCTTCTGGCGTCAGGCATTCAACTTTCGACTGGTGATACATACTACTTAGATCTGTCATCAGTAGCACACGATAAAATATTACAGATATACAGTGGAAAAGCTATGTGTAAAGAAATACATTTAAATAATAAGCTTTTTGTAGGAGAGATTTTTATTGTCACAAACATATATACACGAAAGTTATTTGATAAACTGAGTGATCAATTATAAATATTAACATGTTGGTTGTGTGTGAATACAAGTGAAATGAAAAGGAATTCTAAAACATTTAATGTATTATAGTTGTTAGTATGATGAAATATATTTTGAGGAATAAAAAATAAACTATAAATGCAAAAGTCCTGAAATATAGAATGAATCAATATAATGCGGTATATATGTATATATGTATAATGGTGATGATAAAAATATAATTTGCTTACGAGTACGCATAATAAACTGTACGTGTATCTCTGCTTATAGGTGATTGATAGAAACATGGAAAGTAATGCAATAAAACTATTTATAAATCATCGTAAACAGTTTTTAGTCATTCCTGAAAAGAATAAGTTTATAAACAAACAACTAAGATCGTCAGAATTTGTTTAGTATAAATTGGATTCAGTTAGTTCATCTCCATCATCATCTAAAAGTGAATCACTGAAAAAAAAACAATGAATAACAAGTGAAGTAGTGTATAGGTTTATACTAATTAAAAGAAATAATCCGCTTTACAGACAATTACTGTAGTCTATATTTTCCATTGGTACTCTGATAAAAACACAAATATAACAGTTTGATGTGTACACGTTGATAAAATGAGTGGTTTGTAATTAGATTTCTTTCGTAGTTGTTAATATGGACGAAATTTATGTCCAAAAGAAATTAAATTTGAGGGTCATCGAGTCAAACAATACCTTTTTATACGTTTGAAAAATATGCGTTAGTTTGAGATAAACAGTTGTTAGTAGGTATTTACAGAGAGAGATAATCAAAACTGGGATCGAATATTAAATGTAGCATCATAATTTCTTTATGACTGATTATTCCAATAACTATTGTTTTGGAAACGTTCGGATTCTAGGTTACTTGTAAGTAAATACTTAATAGCTTTAGTCATAGTTTACCTATTGCCACAAATTATAGCCACAGAATAAATAGGCGGAGTATACAAACATATCAAAACGCATCTACTTAGTATTTCAGAGCCGTTAAGTTGCAAAAACGGAGTGTACATGTTGTGAACCATTTAAGCTCATTTTGTAACTTGAAGTAGAATTATATTCATACAACTGTTATTATATGAAGACTGATTATTCAGTTCACAGGTACTAAAGAAGTGGGTTTAAAAATGACTTAACTCTTTTTCCCCATATATATAACTGAAAATAAATAATAAGTATAACAATATACTCAAATGGAACATCGAGCAGTATACAATAGACAGAGTACAATTCGTAAAATGCGCCAATATCTCACACAGACAATAATTTACAGGTAACACACAAAAGTAGATGATACTAATGACTGATTTCTCAGCCACTACCATACATTGTATGCTACCTCCAAAATTTATATAGAAAGTAGGTTTTCATTTTGAGAAATCATGGGTCCTTTTTTCGATGTGTTGGAGATTTAATGGTGAAATAGCATTAGAAATTATTTAAGTTAGGAAAATATATCTTTAAAAAATAGATATACTAAACTAGTCTTGTATTGAATGTAAATCATGGAGGATCCTAGCCAACAAATAAAACCACATCATACAAATAAAGTGATTAACAGTCAACTGTGTTATTAGAATACTTATTTATTATTTATTTATTTAAACACATATATATTGGTACAAAAGGGCACCAGGTACATATGCGCCACACAAAATAATGAAAGTAGGAAGAGAAAGGATGAAAAGATAAGGCGGGCTGAAATGTACAACCAGAAGATTCTTTCAGTTAGGAAAGTTAGAACCATTCTTTATGTAGAAAGTAAAAGAAGGTTGCAGCAGGATCGCCACTGGCTTCTATTCTGAGCCATATCCGATAACGTCTCTAGCCACTGTGTTGCACTATCTCTCGGACCCCAACCAGGGAGTCGTGAAGGACCAACGGAAGCTAGCCCTTTGCAGCTCTCTTTCATGCCACGACACCATGTCATACACTGACCTCCTCTCCGCTTTCTCCAACCAGTCCCAGGGTCGGCAAATAATGCACGACGCGGAAGTCTCTGGGACGACATTCGTAAAACATGTCCGAGCCACCGAAGTCGGTGTTTCAAGATGGTGACACCAATTGAATTATCGTCTCTGCGCCCGAACACACGATGCCGAACCTCTGCATTACTAACATGGTGTTGCCACTGGATGTCAGCAATCCTTCGGAGACAACGATGATCGAACACAGAGAGATGTCTAACATCCTCAACTCGGAGAGGCCAGGTTTCACAAGCATACAGCAAAACTGCTCTCACCGACGCGTTGTAGATGCGACCTTTTACAACCAGACTAACATCACGAAGGCGCCAAAGATGGCCCAGATTGGCATAAGCCGCTCTGGCTTTCATTATACGTGCACCAATCTCATCACTCACGCCACCACCAGCACTTATATAGCTACCTAGATACACGAACTTCTCAACTACTTCGATCTCCTCACCATCCAGGGTGAGTACAGGATGAGAATCCTGCCAGTCTTGTAGAAGTACTTTGCACTTGGAGGGTGCAAAGCACATGCCGTACCTGCGGACACTGATTGCCAACTGATTAAGTGCTGATTGCATGCCTTGGGCATTATCGCACAGTAAGACAATATCATCCGCATACTCAAGGTCGAGAAGTCGTTCTCCAGGCAACATATCCACACCGCCATTACTTACATCCATCAGAGCTGTTTCTAGGATGTCGTCGATGGCAAAGTTGAAGAGGAATGGGGAGATCGGGCAACCCTGCCTAACCCCACTGCTCGAATGGAACAAGGGAGAAAGGTGGTTGTATGCCCTCACTCTGCCTGAGGTGTTCGTATACAGGGCCTTTAAGATGTTAATGAACTTCTCAGGCACACCCTTCTTCAATAGACAATCCCAGAGAACAGTCCTGTCCAACGAATCGAAGGCCGCCCTGATATCAAGAAACACTACGATTGTTGGCCTGCGATAAGTATGACGGTGTTCTAACATTTGGCGGAGGGTGAAGATGTGATCAATGCATCCTCGACCAGAACGAAAACCAGCCTGCTCCTCGCGAGTCAATCGTTCTCGGGTTTTAAACAACCTACGAAGAATGATAGAAGCCAATAGTTTGGACGCGATCGAAAGTAGACTTATCCCCCGGTAGTTATTGCAGGAACAACGTGAACCCTTTTTAAAGATAGGGACGACTATTGACTCATTCCAAGATGTTGGAACACTTTCTTGCTCCCAAACCTTTCCAAACAACGCAGTCAGTTCCTTAGCCAGAAAGTCACCACCATCTTTAAAAAGAGCCGGAGGTAAGTCATCTGGGCCAGGTGATTTATAACGTTTCAAGAGTTGGAGTTCCTTGCGGACTTCCGCCTCGTTTGGTGGATCAGTCGTCACCGGCCATGGGGAGCAGGACAAGCTGGTTGATGTTGCCGGAGCAGCAGGCCAGTTGAACTGCCCTTCGAAAAATTCCGCCCATCGTCCAAGACGTCGACAGATGTTAGTGATTGGCATCCCGTCATCCTCGTAGATTGTTTCACTCACACCAGACTTCTTGCTGCCAGTGGCTCGGATGAGTTGGAAGAGCTTCCGGCAGTTACCAGATGCAGCTGCTGCTTCCATCTCATCAGCACGCTCCGACCACCAGGCTTCCCGGTCCTTACACAAGCTTTGCCCGATTTCATTACGTAACAGCCTTCGTTTGTGGTCAAACTCACGGTCACCCGGAGTAGACCGACGGGCTTCCATCAGTTGTAAGGAGCTAGAAGAAACCCAGTGCTTGTAAGCGGGACGTTTCTTGAAGCCGCAAGCGGCTTTACTCGCCATTTTCATGGCGTCGTGAAGATGCAACCAATGCTCGTCTATACTTTTCGGTGGGGTGGTAGCTAGCCTAGAGGCTAGCTCAGCTCGATACTTACTTGCAACAGAAGTTGCAGCCAGTTTACTAATATCAATCCGTTGGTGGTGGTCAATCCTTCGGCCACTGAAAAGTAAGGTGAGATTGGCGCAGACCAGGGCATGATCAGACTCCAGATAGGTACTCCAAAAGGAGCGGCAGTCTTGTACACAACCACGCCAGCGGTAGCTGATCGCGATGTGATCAATCTGAGTCCAGGCTTGGGATGCAGAGGGAGGACGCCAGGTGGCACACCGGCGATGACTGTGCCGGAAGTTAGTGCTGGCCAGAAACAGGTTGTGGTCTGTGCACAGTTGCAGCAAACGGTCCCCGTTATCTGTCCTGCGACCAACAAGTCCCCATCGGCCACCTAAACGACTCTCTTCTGTGCCTAGACGCCCGACCTGTGCATTCAAGTCACCGGCTAATACTACAATATCTGTCGAACGCGCTTTCTGGAGAAGAACTGTTAACTGATGGTAAAACTCATCCTTGATTGCATCCGGGCTGCAATCTGTCGGGGCATAGGCGAAGATGACGAAAAGACACCGTTTCTCACGCCGATTTCTTCTCACTTTGATGGAACTTTCTAATCTAACAGCACATAACCGACTGTTAATGGGGATCCAATCGATTAGTGCTGCCTCAGCTCTAGCGCTTAGTGCGACACCAACGCCAGCAAGACCAGACGAAGATGCCACAGGGTCCCCGGATAAGTGCACGTGGAACAAGCTTTTCGAGGCGACAGATGGAGAGCGGATTTGTAGTACTTCACCAGAGTCTTGAATACGGGTCTCGGATAGACAACAAACGTCAACATTAAGACCTTCCAAAGACATAGCCAGCCCTATCTGTTGTCTGATCTGCATTAGTGTGCGAACGTTGAAGGAAGCCAGCTTGAACGGCGTACGTGGTTTCAGAAAAACTGCCTCAGTATTCATAATCGGTGGAAGCATTCACTTTCAACCAGACAGTGACTGGAGATCGTTTAGATAGGACAGATTTTCCACCAAGAGCGAGCTGCTGCATAAGTTGAAGAGTAAGGTTACACAAATTGGGGATAAAAGGGGGTGAATTAGCGATATGGTAAGTAATAATAATAATAATAATAATAATAATAATAATAATAATAATAATAATAAAGGTAATAATAATAATAATGTTAATTGTCTTGCTTTTAGTATGACCAGGGATATCGTCAATAGAGTTCATAATTTCATTCATTAGAATACTGACGATAACAAGCTAAGACATTCATAATACTATTCCGTTATTTGAAAGGTCCATAGCTTTTTATAAAACAAATTCTTGCAATAGTTCGAGTGAACAGTTGTGCTTATTGATAGCTAACCAGAATCCATGTGTACCTACTATCTCGAACACACAATTGATATCCATACAGAACAAAGAACGAAACAATATTAAACTTTTAATGAGTCCCCGATACTAGAATGAGTTAGCAGAAAAAAGCAATTAATTGCATAATTTCCAAACGGATAGTATATTTTCTGTAGTTAATAGTGATTAAGACGAATATAGACATAAGACCTGATGAGAATTAAACTTATGATAACGGTGAAAATTTGAACAGAAAATGACAGAAGTTAATTTGGTTCCCTATTTTTATACACCACAGCAAGAAAACAAGATATGCTTACTTTAATACACGAAGAGAAAAGAATAGTACACGACGCAAGCATCGATTATGAAAAAAATAATTGAAAGATGCTAAACATCCTGAGCTGTACGGATCGGATAGATGATCAGGACGATAACTAAACCAAAAGAGAAAAACAATAAAACTAAAATTAGTGTAGATATTATTCATTCAATAAAGTCGGCAGGATCTAAACTTCATGACATGAAAATAAAATATCATCATATTAAAGTTCCTAGGGAACATTTACCTATATATACGACACTGAGCAGGCGAAATTTCATCACCGATAACTTTCCAAAGATGAGGTGCTAGATCTTCGTATTTATCCACGTAAATGGAACAGAACCGAGAAATATAATGTTTTACAAGCTGACGAAATGAAAGTGAAGGCAATCATGAGAATACTAAAGAAAACATCAATAAAATCAAAATTGCTGAGCCAATATATACATAAATATAATCTTGGAACAATGAGAAAGTGTTACACTTAAGAATTTTTAGTTTTAGAGGGAACTCCAACTTTTGAACCTCCGTAAGTCCCCAGGCCCAAACAACGTACCCCACTTCCTCCCCACGGATGGAGCCAAATTTCTGGTCAGAGATCTTACTAAATAATTTGGAAAAATTATGGAAGTTAACAGTTCTGTAATCTTGCAATGAAGCGATTGCTGTCCTGCCACTTCTATCAATTAAGGGACGAGTATACTGCGTAGCAGTCCGTCCTGTTTTAATTTACGGCTGTGAAACATGGCCATTAAAAGTAGAAGATACTCGTAAGTTACTAGTATTTGACCACAGATGCCTCAGAAATATTGACAGCATCTGCTGGGATAACCGGGTAAGTAATAGTGAGGTTCGACGCAGGGTATTAGGAAATGATGGTAAATCAGTTGATGAGGTCATGAATCTTCATCGACTGAGATCGTTAGGCTACGTGTTACGTATGCCTGAACACTGATTACCACGACGCGCTATGCTGACTAGTGTAGGGGATGGTTGGAAAAGAGTTAGGTGTGGCCAAACCAAAACGTGGCATCAGTACTTGAAGTCATTAACTTCTAGTCTGAGCCATGTTGGTAGATGCAGGCTACCTGGTTGGGGTCCGCTTGACTATCGTAACCAATGGTTAGAGACTCTGTGCGACATGGCTTAGAATCGATCACAATGGCGCAGGTGTATACACTCTTTATCTTCCCTTGAACATTAGGATTAAAATTGCTTCATAACGTTCTTCCTTCCTATACTATATCCTTATAAACAACCTATCTTTTATATACTACCACCACTAAATTAACTATTTCTATGAATCCGGTGTTCATCTTGTTGTGTTAACGAGGTATGGCAACTTGGACCGATTCATATGTGTGCCTGGTCCTACGTTGTAGCTGACTGACTGACTTCTGAAAAGGATTACGTAAAACCTGCGAAAATGGTTAGTGTATGAGTAATCTCCCAAACTGCGGACTGCTTAATTTGTGACAAGACTCAATGGTATTGAAGGTAGTTGCATGGGACTGACACATGTTAGTTCATCGCAACTCTCTGAGTGGGCTGTCATAGGATATGTAGCTGCTCAGTGGCTTGAGATGTTGGTATAAAGAACAGAAGCTAGTGATAATCACCTTTTAGCTTCTAAATACATACTTTCTGGAAGATAAACTATATTAGATGAACAATATCTCTCATCACCATTTCCTTAGTTGAACCGCATCATTTAATCAGTACTATTATTGTCAATTTATTTAGACTGTACAACCTTCACAATAACATTACTCCATCTTGTGTGGCACGTTGTCTTGGTGCACTAATATATTAAAATACGTATTAATTAGATCGTCAAAATATCTGGAAGGACATTAAGAAAATAATCGTTGCTGTTTAGTGGTCAACAAGCATATTTGTCTTAATTGGGTGGTCCATGAATCTAACCTTGAAATTTTGATGCTTTACATAAGCTTATGTGAGCACAAAACTATAATCAGGTCAATAATAAAACATAGTCAACTCAATTTTTTAAATTCTTATCTGGAACTACATTATTGCTTATCATCAAATCTATGAAATAGAATGTTAAGCATAAAAATGCGCTTTTTATCATATATGCTGTGCTTTACTTAACATCTCTAGTATTTCAAACACACAATATATAACTGCATTCTTACGGCTGCACGTAACAACGTCCTGGAGTACAGTGCTAAAATATAGTTATCAATTGGCTGAAAGATAAGTAATTTCGAACACCTATTAAATGAAGTCTGTAGAAAGGATTTTTACTTTTGTTCAGCTGGAAGTGTATTCTGAACTGAATGTCGATGATGGAATTTTCAACAGCTTACCAGTCAACATTTATACAAAGAAATTAATATGAATAGTTCCAAGTATTACATTTCCAGATGCTGGCATTGTTCATAAGCTGTCTTGAAAAAATGGGAAGTTTCCTAATGGAAAATCTCATCCTACAGTGTTTAAATAATTCAGAGAAACGCAGTTTACTCCTTACCATATAAAACTAATACGAAGAGTTACAAAACCAGTTGAGAGTATGGTGTCATGGGTGGAAAGTTAAAATGAAATTCACCAACAGCGTACCCATAGTTCAGGTTCCAAACAAAATTCGTCACTTCTAGCAGCCAGAAAATCATAGGCAGGACCAAAACAGCTATTTAATGTACTCATTAAACAGAAAAAATCTTTGGTTGATAGAGCTGAGGCTGAAAACTTTGGAGACGGTGATTCCGAGGTACTATCATTCAAACATATAGATGTTTCAGACCGAGTACGTTTTCTTCCACTGCACACATTTCTAGGAGGGGAGAGGCTGGAAGAATTCTGTCAAATTAATCAGGAATCAAGAAATTAAAATAGATATAAGCATTGTAAACAACTCCAAAACAATGGCATCATTGATCGCTCAACGATCACTGAATGTAAACAGGTATCACATTTATATAATTTTCTTACGAACAAGTGCAGACTATATACATTCTTAACTAATATTTAACAAACTGTACAGATCAGTGCTTTTCTTCTAAACACAAATAAGTATGTTTGGGTTCCTGCAGTTTCCTTAGTGTTTTAAATAAATCTTTATTTGAGTTTGGATATTTATGTCCGAGAAGAAACATGCTATTAAATTTCGGGCATAATGAGGTAATAAACCTGCGATCTTGCGGTGAATTACATCTACACTTAAATACCAAACTACGACTATGAATAACTGCGAGCAGTGTGAAATGAATGCAACATGATTTGGAAGTAGTGACTGTTTATTTGTGATTACTTTGTTAGTTTATCAATTTTTAGAGGAAATCTGGTACTTACTTAGAACATCATCCAAAGATGCTTGTAATTTAAAGTTACTAAACAGTAGCTGGATTTCGTCTCGTTGCTCACCTTCAGCCTTCCCGACATGGTTGAACCTCGGTCGGTATAGCCCTCAGGATCACTGCAACACACAAGCCCGTCTACCACGCCAAGGTACCAGCCAACAGACGGGTCGATTCTAAACTATGAACACCTACATAACTAGTAATCACAAGCACTATTACATCTTCAAATGACAAAAGTTACTTAAGGCTCATGAGTATAAGACAATAACAAATCCCTGAAAATAAAACCCCATATGAATATAAAGTTGGTTATTTGCCTATTTTTCAGTTTTTTAACGTAACGTAACTATGTGCTAGGGTAGTATTATTACTGTGCATAAGTCGTATTTACTTAGCTTTGCGAAGCTAGAATGACAAGCAGGTTGTGAAGTAAAACACGTGGATGGAAATAAAGAACAACTGGGACGGATATAATCCGCCAGATGGTAGCATTGGAGTCAAGTACTTTGTAAACTTCTACTACTAACCCGAAGAGATGCACCAACTTTATAAAAACATACAATGAGAACTTAATAAAATGATACGAGGACACAGAAAGTAATGAAAAACTTTGTAAGAAAAAAACAAGTGACCGGTGGTGACTGATCTTGGATGATACTCATCCGAATTGTTTCGGGATCGACCACTTGTCCAGTCATTTCATACAAATCCCGTAGAGTTTGTGAGGACCCAAGGTAAAGGGCAGGTGATTCTTGACTTTCATCACCATTTAAACGAGAAACCAATTCCTTAAATTGACGTTTTTCTTCTGAAACCATTTTGCATGAGTAGCTTTCTAGCCTAGAAGATCAAAGTAATTAAGATAAAATATCCGATACATAAACAATTTGAGGTAGACTTTGGTGTGGAAGACTAAAAAGTAAACAAAATTTATGCAACTGTTTATAAAGTTAGTTCATAAAGATAGGCTAAGAACGAGAAATAAATATTAAATCATAAACTGCATACACGTCCGGTTACTAGCGTCAGTTTAAGACCAATGGGGAGTCAGAGGCAACTGATTGAGAAAACAAACTAGATAATGAGTTGAGTTTGTAACCCGACAGGTAGTAATTTAACCTGTAAACACATAGTTACAGCTTTAGTATGAAAATAAAAACCCAATTAAAATGTTTTATTTCTTGAATCTCCCTGAGACAGTAATCTCAACTACTTCACTGAACCTCCAGAAGTTTCGGTTAGGCAGGTTTATTGCCAAGGTCCAGATTTACAGATCGGAAGAACCTGGACCCACCTATCGAAGTAACAAGGTTACAGAAAGCGATGGTTGTTTATTCGTGATTTCAGATTTTTTTAGTCAAGATAAAACATGGAGTATTGACAAACCGGATTCCCATACAATTACCACTCATAAACAAAGTGTATTTATTAGCAATGATGAAATAGTATACGCGACGATAAGGCCAGTTTTTGTTGAGCGTATAAATAAACCTTGACATACACTTTTGGAAGGCTGAAGTAACACAAGAACGGTGATATCATATACCTTTAGAAGACCTAAAAATACGAAGTGGAACAAACATACAGACTGAAATCTGCGACATATAGGAAAGCAAGTCATATGTGGAGACCGAGATAACTGTGGATCAGTTTAAACCACTATCCTTGAGCAAACGTTAACGAGATGGATGTATCTTCACAAAAGCACAACCAGCAGTTAAATAAAAACAAATGTCGAAAAATTCAGAGAAAGGATGAAGTGATTAGGGAGTGAAAAGTATAAAATATCCATTGAAAATGTGTGAATTTCAGGAAAAACGCAACAATAAAAAATAAAGTTCAAGCACTTCTGAATTTTCACTAAGACATACTCAGGCATGGTTTTGCTCTTAGAATTCTTTTAAAATTTCAACAGATGGGGATTTCGCCTCAAAAATTGTGGCTTATGGTGTAAAATATGAATAAAATGTTATGAATCATCATCGGCGAGAGCAAAAACCTGTGATTCTTTAAGTTACTGAGGTCAGAATTTGGGTCGAATTAGCCTAAAAATGAGGTCAGTCGGAAAGAAAAGTATGAGCATTGGGGATCAACCGGTTGATTGGATACGAGAGCAACCGATTTCGGAAGTATATAGGAAATTTTACACATTACACACACCTGGCATCAATTTTGTATCTTTTACTACCGTTACTTAATTGAGAACTCAAACCCTCTAAGCCAACTTGGTCCAACAGCTTCATCTTCCGACAATAAATTGAGCTCCACAGATCACAAAGTAACAGGTAAATTCAGTATCCAATGTTCATATTTAAATGTTCAGTGGTTGCGACCAAATCTTGATATCAAAGTACGATCTCAAGTTTCATTCTGTTTTGTTTCATACAGGATGTAGAATATAGTTAAAAAAGCAGTTTTATTTGTTTTTTGTCAACGGATTCTCAATTGGTATTTTAGCGGTAATCAAATATGCAAAACAAATAGTCCTGTGAGTTCGCAGCATCTGAAGTATCAAGTACTGAATCCCTGCCCACCTATATGACGTCGAAACATGACACGAAGTAGCAGAAATCCAAGCTGATTTCGAAATTTTGTAGATGTGATTTAAGAAATGGTTGATTGTAATTGTTGGAACTGTGTCCGTACGAATATATAACATCTCTGTCATCATTCCTTACAAAATAGCTGAGGAGTTATATTAGGTAGTGGCTTGAAGACTACATTTTCATTCGATTAGATTTAAGGATTCCAGAGTGGTATATATTGTTGTCTAGAAGTACACTCACCGCACTTTACTCTATCCTTGAGAAAAAAATGACAGAGATATGTTTGCGTGTCACACAGCTTTGTAAGAAGAATTCTCATCTTCTTAGAACAGTACAGAGTGTCGCTACACATGCACATTTGGGGGCGCTTGACTTGCCTTCAAACAGCCGGTCTATAGAAACAGATTAATTGGCTTCGTCCCATCTTAGATTCAAAAGGCAACTTATTATGATGTTCAAGCGAATAAGAACTGGATCCAAGCACCATTTATTCAATTTATTTCCCCGACCCAGATTGAAGTTACTGAGAGAATGAAGTAGGTAAGTACAATAGCAAAGAATAAGTCTAATCTCCAAGACTTATATGATGTTCCCTCCATGTAAGATACATTCAAAAGCGGTATCTAATGTTTCGAAGGACCAATACACTTGTAGTGGTAAATAAATCTCAAGAATAAACAATTATGTAGGTCTTCGCATTGGTGCTGACCCCGTTAGGTTTATTGGTCACAACCTCGCTGAATGCATCAGGTCACATATCCTCATTAGATCATGAACAAGTACGCTGTACCACACATTCCTCACAACTACTAGTCAGCTTAGATCAAGCACTTCTTTACATATAGAATACTTAACAAATATATCTTCAAACTCATTCATCATTGACTTCTAAACTGACTGGGTTTGAGGTTATTCAAATGTAAATTTGTCGCGAACGAAAGCGCTTTATAACCCTGAATATCTTAAGCATCATTAACAAACTGGTCGGCGAAAATTTCTTACTTATGAAGTTTTTTAATGTCTGCGAAGAACGACAAAATTGTTGAAGACAACCAAAAAGTTATGTACTTCTCTCCAGGATTACCTTGTTGTTATGACTCGTTAAAAATAGGCCTCGACAACTATGCTTCGAAATAAGAAATTCTCGCTTTCCGAGGTGTGGTCTGGAAGAGGTTACATACGGTGAGTCTGTCCCATTAGACTCAAACCTAAAGGTCTTTTTGTCTGTATAGGCCACAATAAGGGATTGAGGATACCACGGATATTCTAGTTTTGCAACTAGCAACCAGTAGTATCTTCTCTAATCGTTCGTTCCCAGTCGAATAGAAACCAAAAGTCAGACGAGGAGAGGTAGGAAAGATATATTTGATACGCTACCAATATTTCGAGGAACCTTTACTACAAGCTGGCTAATGAACGTAGGAGCAGTGTCCCACGCCGAGTTGAAACGTGATCTGGTGCGGATGCATGACCGAAAGCCTTCAGCTAAACAAGTCCACTTAAACAACGTGGTCAGCATCCAATGTCGAACACTTAATGAGCTATTGATTTTGGGGAATTATTTACAGCTACAGATCACCCCCCCTAGTGAGGTAGTGATGCCCCTAAGACGTGACCAGCCAGAAGTTTAAACCCAACGAGTTTGTCGTTGGCAAACACTCTTCTGATAGTTTGCTTCGTTTAGCAGCGTCTGGTCGTCTTTCCTTAAACTATGGGACAAAAATGTACAACATAGCAATAAAGAAATATAGTACAATGTAAATTTCGGTTCCTTGCGAAACTTCATCGTTCTTTTCCAGTAGTCCTGGAAAAGAGGAAAAATAAAACGTGTGAATGCATGTCGAAAATATACTCGTACTTGCATAAGGACACGAGATGAGCGGGGAAAAAAATGAATAAACTAATACACTTACAAACAGCGTAAAAGCGATCGGAAAAAAAAACTGTTTCTTTTTATATATATAAAAATATAAATACGCTCAAAAAAATAAAAATGTTTTGTTTTTTTGGGTTTTTTTATATAAATAAAAAAATGAGCTTATTAAAAATTTTTTTATAATAAACAATGAAAAGGTAATTCAAGATAAAACCTGTGTCCTACGTGCAATATTCGTTAAGATGTTCTGGAAATCTTACTCTTCTTCCAGAACGCGTTGTTTTAGGTTTTTCTATCGACGTTGACGAGGTATCAAATTTTGTGTCGGTTGTCGTGTAGGGTACTACGAGTGTAGTGGCTGTGTCGTTTCTTGTACCGAAGGAAAATCGACGTAGCTAGGGTTTCCTTCTAAGTACGCTGCTTTGAGTCGATCGATACTGATGCTATCGTTCGTACCGTTCTTATCGACTACATAGTACTTGGGTTCGCGTTGAAGAACTTTGAAGTGTCCTTCGTATGCTGATTCGAGGGGTCGTCGATGTGAGTCTCGACGAACGAAGACATGTGTACTATGTCGTAATTCGGGTTGAACGAAAACATCAGTTGATTGAGGTCGAGTGTGAGCAGGTTTAACTGAACGCATAGCGTTTGTAAGCCTACTAGTGTAAGAGTTTAGATCCATGTTCAATGAAGAAGCTGAAGGATCTACGAATTCTCCTTGGAGTCGGAGTGTCGTTCCGTAAACGAGTTGAGATGCAGTGTAACCAATGTCAGCTTTCACTGCATTGCAGATACCTAGCAAGACGAGTGGAAGAGCGTCTTTCCAATGTGAAACGTTTGAAGCTGATAATGAAGCTTTTAGTTGTCGGTGAAAACGTTCTACCAACCCGTTTGCTTGTAGGTGGTAGGCGGTCGTTCGGAAGCGCGTGATTCCTAAAAGTGAGGTGAGACAACGGAAAAGTCCAGATTCGAACTGGCGTCCGCGGTCTGTAGTGATGGTTGAAGGGCAGCCGAAATTTGCTACCCATCGTTCGACGAAAGTGCGAGCCACTGTTTCAGCAGTAATGTCCTTAATCGGTACTGCTTCTGGCCATCGAGTAAAACGGTCTACGCATGTTAGGAGATATGAGTATCCGTTCGAGTCGGGTAAGGGTCCTACCAAATCTAGATGGACGTGGTCGAAACGAGCGTCAGGGGTTTTGAAAGAACCTAAGGGACATTTGTTGTGTCTGATTACCTTAGATTTCTGACAGCTTACACAGGAGCGTGCCCACTCCCTCACGTCTTTATTCATGCCAGGCCAACAAAAGCGTTCGGCTATAAGTTCGATTGTTGCACGAGCACCTGGGTGAGAAAGATTGTGCAACGTATTGAAGACGTTGCGGCGATAATGTTTTGGTACTATTGGACGATCCCTACCTAGATGTGTCACAGAGTAAAGTTTCCTTACCTGTTCCCATCTGCTTAATACTTAGTTTAAGAGTTGTCGAGGATAACTCATGCTGAAGATCAAAGTCTTCTTTTTGAAGCTGAGCGAGTTTAAGAAGGTCGATTCCTTGGATACTGTTCAAGGAACTTATTCGAGACAAGGCGTCTGCGACTACGTTGTTAGCTCCAGAAATGTGTTGTATGTCTGAAGTAAACTGCGAAATGTAGTCGAGTTGTCGAGACTCTCGCGGTGAGTACTTGTCTGAAGATGAACTTAAAGAGAAGGTAAGAGGTTTGTGATCGGTAAAAAGCGTAAATTCTCTTCCTTCGATGGAATGTTGGAAATGCCGTACAGCACAATACATAGCTAGGAGTTCCCTACCGAACGTGCTGTACCTAGATTCCGCGTCTAGCAACCGTCTCGAGAAAAATCCTAAAGGTTGCCACGAGTTGTTAACCCATTGTTGTAAGACTCCTCCGATTGCTGATTCGGATGCGTCTACGGCGATACTAATGGGCACTTGAGCGTCCTGATGAGCAAGCAGGGTTGCTTTAGCGATGTGTTCCTTAACTGTGGAGAATGCTTTACGGGCTATGTCGTCTAAACTAATTGATTTCGCATTTCCACGAAGCTGATCGGTTAATGGTTTCATAAGGGATGCGCATTTGGGTATGAACCGTCTATAGAAACCTACAAGTCCGTTAAAAGTTCGTAAGTGCTTGATCGTGGTCGGTTCTGGGTAATCCAGAATGGCCGCCACTTTGCTCCTAATGGGGTCGGATGCCTTGAGCATCAATGGTGTGTCCTAAGAAGTCTAAGGAGTTGGTTCCAATTTGGCATTTCTGAATGTTTACAGTAATGCCATGCCTTTGGAGTCGATCGAAAACAATGTCCAGATGCTTGAGATGTGATTCTCTGTCCGGACTTGCTATTAGACAGTCATCAACATACGCATGTACGAAGTTGAGACCTCGGAAGACGTCGTCTATAAACCTTTGGAAGGTTTGAGCCGCGTTTCTTAAACCGCGACCGAAAGAAGTGATGATGGCGGTTTTAGGAACGTCGTCAGGTGCCATCAGTACTTGGTTATAAGCCTTAACCAAGTCGATTTTTGAAAAGACAGTTGTACCTTTTAAGGTAGCTGTCAAATCGTGAATATGAGGCAATGGCTAACTATCGGGAATGGTTTTAGCATTCAGACGCCGATAATCACCAGTTGGCCGCCATTCATTGCTGTCCTTTTTAGGGACCATGTGCAACGGGGATGACAATGGACTATTCGATGGTCGGATTATCCCTAAGTCTATCATATGGTCGAATTAGTTTTTGGCTAACCTAAGTTTTTCGGGAGCGAGCCGACGGGTTTTCGAGAATACAGGTGGTCCTGTAGTC